GTCTATCTAGGTCTTTTTTCTGATGACACCTGTATATATGCGATAGACCGCAAAGAGGGTTATGTTCTCAGAAAGCTGCAGCGAGGTCTCAGTCCTATTGAGACGTGGTGTGAGCGCTGGAACATAAGCTCAATGAAGATGAGACTCAGGCCATCTACTTCTCTCATAGACTCAGGCCCCCTGAGGCTCATCTTATACTGAATGGACGGAATATCCCCTTTGTCAGTCATATAAAATGTGTGGGTGTAATCTTCGATAAGAGGATTACGAGGAGACTTCACATAGAAATGATTGAAGTTAAGGCTTTCAGAACATTTGTTAGAATCTACTCCCTATTCAAAAGTGACAGTTTAAACGCAAATATTAAACTAACCCTCTATAAGGCACTAATCAGATCAGTAATGACTTACGCTTGTCCCGCCTGGGAATTAGCGGCAGAAGTCTACCTTCTGAAATTGCAGCGCATGCCAAACAAGGTTTTGCGCACCACTGGAAATTTTCCAAGATGATACAAGTCCGCGATTTGCACACAGCTTTGAACTTTCCGTATGTATATGATTATATAACAAAATTATGCAGGCGACATTCAGAAGTCATACGAAGTCATGAGAATGAGCATGTTCGCGGTATAGGACAAGGCGAAGCCAGATATCGAAAATATAAGAGGCTTAAACTTGGCGGTGGTCAAGCTTACGACCTCTCAAGTGACTAAGCTGCCTTTGTAACATAAGATAAGTAAGATAGACATGATCTGTTTTGCAAAGCCTGTACTGACAGAGGACTTATATACAGTGCAGAAGGACCGCGCCATAGCTCAAGCGGTTAGTCGCTGGCTTCACACCGCGGCGGCCCGCCTTCGATCTCCGGTCTGGTCAAGTGGGATTTGTTGTGGACAAAGTGGCGCTGAGGTAGGTTTTCTCTGAGTACTTCGGTTTCCCCTGCCAATCTTCATTCCACTAACTGCTCCACAATCACCCTCACCTATCATCTTGGACTGGTACAATAGGCCAGAAGTGGCCGCAGTACAAGGGACTTAGTCCCACCCCACTAGCAATAAAAAATAATATAGTGCAGAAGGAAGAATTTCCAATAACACGCTATATGTGCGATACGTACACTTAACAAAAGGACAAGCATATTCGTAAAAGACAAACCCATCTTCTCGTCAGAGAGGAAGTTACATAAGGACTATGACAGCAAAAGTTCAGTTGTAAAAGGATCTGGTCACGAGCCTCAAGGGGCTTGGCGCAAAAATGAATTGATCGGCGATAAACCACCAGTCGTAAAGTATCTCTGACTCTGAAGTTAGCCATCCGTGGTAGGCAGTCTAAATTGTGAGGTCACATGTAGCCTTGGGTGAGATGCGAGACAGTCGCCAGCCGCCAAGGACATTGTTGGGATCCGTTACCAGGCAACTGCTGATGGAGAAAAAGTGGAAGATTTAGTGAGTGTTATAGTAATTTGTAAAGTGTGGGAATTAATAATAATGCTGTAATTCTTCGTAGTTGCAAGATTTAACAGCACATTAAATCCAATTACCATTCCAAAACCCTGTCGAGTCACTAACACGTAACAGTACTTTAAGGTGGAAACACAAAACAGACAAATCTCATAATGAAGGCAGTATACGTTGGAGAGGGGGTAAAGCGCTAGGAAGTGAAGAAAACAGCGTTAAGAAGAAAGTTGCTATGTAACGCCCGAAACATGCACGCAAGGAGAGTTATGCGACGGGATTTTAAGCAACGGCTCAGTAAACACGTTCCCACGGAAACGAACAAGCACAACAGAAGAACTGTGTTTTCGATGTAGTCCGCGCCGAGGAGTTATCTTGTAAACAATTAAGTCGAACAGTTCATATCCGTGTGGAGGCGGGGTCGAATACCTCCACCGTGACACTGCCAGCCGTAGGAGGCGACGAAAAGGGAAGTCTCAAATCTGAGACAGTAAAATATTGTCGAGAGTCCCAACCGAAACAGCGTGAGTAGGTGCAACAGTCTGCACCTGCTCACGTTGGTTCGCTGGCGAATTTCTACCCTGAAGATGTAGGCGATAAGTTCTTCCGAAACGTCGGTTGACACAACATCTACACGGCGCCACATCCCAGAAAACTGCTTTCTTTCTTTGTTTTGTTTTTTCGGATGAGCGAGTTGGCTTTCGGATGACAAGCAGAACTTGGGCGTTGAAATCCTTATGAGACGAATTTTGTAGTAGTCCTTTAGCACACTTATACTCTCATCATTTTGCATCCAGTCTGTAAGGCTTACCACTGATCCCGGTGTACCAGCACACAAACTATATTCGATAATGCTTTTTTCAATGGCGCTTCCGGCCCATTCAGGGTCCAGGCCTCTTATTCACTTCCGTTATCATTTTTCACAGACGGTAGGACTCCTTGGACGACGAAACAGCCCGTCGCAAAACCGCTACCTCAACACAGGACAACACAAACACAGAATAAACGCATACACATACCAAACATCCACGGCCTGAGTTGGATTCGAACACACAATCCCAGCGTCCGAGCGAGCGAATGTAGTTCATGCCTTAGGGTGCGCGGCTACTGTGACCGGCATTCGATAAAATAGACCAGTTTTATTACGTGCAAAAGTAGGGTAAAATTGTCCCTCTGCTTAACTAATTAAGTACTGCGCCAGGAGTGGATGTATAGACGCAAGTTTTCTTGACCTCGACACTAGTTGGAGGTGGGTGTTCAGTTTCACGCCCCGGCCGCTTTTCCCCGGGGAAAGAGCCCGCTGTACCCACTGGATAGGAGGCTAGGTGGGCCCCACAGCCGGTCTGGAATACCTGGTGAAGAGAGAATTCTTGTCCTCGCCGCGACTCAAACTCCGACCCCTTGGTCTTCCAGCCTGTAGCCAGTCGCTATACCGACTGCGCCATCTCGGTGTGGTGTGGAAATCGCATACAAATTCATGCAAAAATAGATAAAACTAGAATCCACAACAATTTTGTAAATTTATGTTGTTCCAAGTTGGTTCCATCTTCCTTAGACCTAGCGCACACATGCAATTTTTAGTTGGCCGATAGTTGGGCACGTCGACGAGAAACATTGCGTTAAATGGGAGTGCGCACGCATCACGATAGTTTTCCAACAGTCGGTGAGCAGTTTGGTTCTACCTCAACTGCCCGCCGACCCAACTGTTGGTGATAGCCCCGTTATACATGAGCTGCTATGGAAGTGCGCGCACATACAACTGGAAATCGGACACGATTTGACCCTCAGTCAACAAGTTGTGTCCTTTCCTGCCTGTCTTCGCGCTCGCTCTAGTTCCTCCAGTTGCAACATGGGGGATCAAAGCATTGAAAAGCTTAGAGAAGAAGTGGAGAAGCGGCCAGCTCTTTATTTAAAAGTACGTAAATAATATTCTGATACTAATCATAAGAAGGCGTTGTGAGAAGAGGTGTGTACCGGTTTGATTGAAAACTGGAATGGTCTGCATATACAGTGGTTTTAGCATGATCAATTTTTATTTCGTTGCCAATTCTTACTGAAGTGTAATGAGTCTAATAACTTACGTACCCTTAATGTTATGTAAGAGAAAAATACTATTTTTCTATGCTCTGTGTTTGCAATTGGGCATGCGTTAGCGTAGTTGGTTGAGGCACTATGCTACAAGCCGGAAGACAGTGAGATCGAATCCCGATGAGGTCATTGAATTTTCCCCAATTTACCCCATCCTTCAAGCCTCACTATGGCCCTGTGGTCGACTCAGCCTCTAACAGAAATGAGTACCAGGAATATTCTTGGAATGTTCTTGGCGTTAAAGGGCGGCCGGCGCGTAGGGCTGACAACCTTGCCGCCATCTATGAGCAGGTTGTCTAGAGAATATGTGGGAACCTCAACATCTGAAAATCCTATGGGCCTCCACGGCCTGTTACAGGAATACCTTTACTTTACCTTTTTACTTTTTCTGTGTTTGCAGTAATAATTCTAGAAATATTAAACTCCAATCTCCATCTTGCATTCTTGAACAAGATATGAGGTTTCAGAAGAAGCAACAATTCATCAAGACTATCAACACTCATTCTGCAATAATCGAAAAATTTTGATGGGTATTGTCTCAGTTCATGGTACAATGTGTAAAATTGTCCTTTTAACAGACTTTCGCTATAAATAGGGTGACCCCAATATGCCCGCTTCCTTTTATCCTTAATCTTAACAATGCACACACTACTGCTGTACCGTACACATCCATGCGTAGTTGTGGACAACTTGACATTGTATGTGAGCGCACGGCCCTCGACAGTTGTTGGGCCTCCATGATAGTGCACAACTATCTGCCAACTAATAATTGCAATATATTTCATGTCATGAAACAGTCACTAATAAATAAACGGTGTCCCCCTCCCCCTTTGGCGCTACAGCCCCAATTCGGGCCTTGGCCTACCTCCATGAATCTCTCCGTTTCACTTTCGGTTTACTAGATCTTAGACGTTCGATAGGACTCCAAGGGGGGGTCATCAGCTCGTTTTAAGGCCTCTACCTGTACACAAACACAGAAAAACACACACACAAACACTGAACATCCATGTCCAGAGGGGGATTCGAACCCATGATCCCGGTTTCCGAGCGAGCGACGACAGTCCATCGCTCGGCTACCGTGACCTGCAACAGTGTGTATTGTTAGGTGTTAAAATGATACAAGTCTCATAACATGTATATATCACTAAGTGTGTGTTAATCGGGCAGTTGTGCCAGACGCACATCTTCTGATACGTCTGTCCTCATGTAAGCAATCCTGCACACGTCACGCTTGGACACAGCTGTTACAGTTGGTAGGCGGTTCAAGGGCGTGCAGTTCAACACTGCCTTCAACTATTTCAGTGTTGTATGACGCATACATTCGTATAAATATTTTGCAAGTTATCTCTGTGTGAAAAGCAAACTGAGCGTTGACTCGTGTGGCTTTTACATCACTCTGTACAACCAAGAAATATATGTAACATTCGACTTAAGGAAAAGATGACAAATGTCACTGTACCTGAACTATGCGGTGAGCTGTTTGAAGATCCGTATCCATCATCCAGGACTATGTTTTGCTGCTGAAGACACGACGCCATGGCGGTAGTGGTGATGGTGCTGTCTTCGGCAGGGTTGTTTTCCGCCATCACCCCGCTGCATCCCTGTCGCTGCTGTGTTGTGGGGTACAACACCAGCTCCATTCCAACACGCTCTCCCGGTTAATATTAAAGAGCCCGCCTAACTTATTGGTATCCGCGGGTCGCCGTACAGTCGGAGCGCTCAGAAACTCCGCGTCTGTTCATCCTCTCAGGAAATTTATTTCGTATATAAGCCATAACACAAGATTCTTGTTTTGCGGAACATGTCCAGAGTTCCCACTGCTCAGTCAGTTCTTCGGACATCATCTAACACATTTTTAAAATTGTTGCGGAGTGTTTACTTCCAGTTTATAAGCTGTATGCTTTCTGGGGAAAATCCGTGCATAATTAGAATATCAGGTCTACTCACCTCCCATACATAACGTTCTTTCAGAGATTTAGAGAATATCTTTCACAAATACATTTTGTGTATCCCAACCCCTCATTCTAGTCGCAAATCTGTCATGACGTGTGATTGGTTCATTATGCATCTGCTGCATAAAGCAAACAGCTACACATGTCCCCAAGTCATTTCAGCGAGCGAAACAATGCGTACAGCTTTTGTTCCCGGTTCTATCGCTAGACATTTCCACGAGATGGCATTCTTTCATGGATTAAAATCGATTTTGATATCGATAAGACGTGTCCTCAAGAGCCCCTCGCTAAACAATGCGCATTTAGTGCTGCATTTTCGTGTCAACTCTACAAGCTAAATATCTGCACTGCGTCGAATTGCTTAGCAAAGATAAATATTCATAAAAGGACGACGTCGTTTGGATATTTTGCAATATCTTTATCCATTACAAAACTTTACCGAAATGTCTGGAGTGGCTGACGGTATAAAGGGGGGAGGGGCTTTTAGTATGCAAAGATGGTATATTCGTGGTTAATGTTCTTTGATAATGGAAGCGCTTACTGCATAGAATGTGAATAAAATATGTTTAAGCTAATATTAGTTTAACGTTTTTCTTCTACTACATTAATGACTTTCTTGTTAATTTATTCATAACAAACTTGGTTTTTACTTTATTTTCGAAGAGGAATTGTATAAAATTTGTCTTAATTGTATTCCGCGCGTATATATATGCCTCAAAGTTATTAAAATGCAATGAATATATTATTATTATTATTATTATTATTATATGGACTTCAAAATGAAATACTGAAAGAATTTTCGTTTTGACTCTTTGAAACAACTTTTAAAATAAACTTTCTAACCAGCCTTAGAATTTACAAAGCATGAAAGGTATTCCTAAAAATCATATAAATTTATGGTTAGCATTAAAATATTTCAGAATAACGATATAAAATTGTGTATAGACCTATACCGTCGTGACTTTCGTTTCAACAGGGCACCAAGCTTTTTCAACATTCTGTCGTCACTAACTACACAAATTACTGCAAAGTGTTCTACACGTAAGGGCAAATACCAACTAAGTTTTTGGAACTGATTAGATGTAACATTCTGTGTTGTCAGTAAAAGGCTTGAGGTTAGAGGGGGCCGAGACTGCGACTGGAACTCGTACACTTGACTGGCACCGGCGTCGCGCGCAGGATATCCGTAGCTCGTTCTCGCCCTGACGCCGCTGGAGCGCTACTGGACTACCGGCAGCACGGTTCCACTCGTTTTGTCTCCCCGACAGCGCGGAGCGCGGCTGCTTCAATGCGAGATTGCGAGCGCCTCCGAGGAGGACTGCGCAACGCGTGGTGGAGCGAGCGACTCGCGTAAGCACCCAAATGAGGGAAAACCTGACCAGCGATTTTATTTCTTTTCATGCTTGCTACCATTCAGTCTAGAGCGTCTAGAGCCTTGTGTATTCTTGTCTGCTGTCTAAAAACATAACAATTAGAATATTTCCCTCTATCTTTACAACTCTACAGCCCTTCGGACCATGACCGCGTTTTTAGTTTCTTAACCCTATACGCACTCGGTAGGACTCATTTGAAGGGGTGATCAGCCCGTCGCAAGGCCGCTACCTACACAGAGAATAAACAGACATCCATGCTTCCAGTGGGATTCGAACCAAGGATCCCAGTGTTCGAGCGGGCGAAGACGGTTCATGCCTTAGACCGCGCGGCCACTGTGATCCACAAAAATTTAGAACATATAATTATAATTCTGCCTGTGCTTCTGTATGGGTGTAAAACTTGGTCTCTGACATTAAGGGAGGAACATGGACTGAGGGTGTTTGAGAACAGGGTATTGAGGAGAATATTTGGACTGAAGAGAGATGAAGTGACAGGAGGTTGGAGAAAACTGCATAACATGTACTCGTCGCCAAATATAAGTAAAATGAAAAAGTCAAGGATGATATGGGTAGGATGTTGTAACCGTTCATTTTGATTGAAGGACTGTTGTACATTAATTAAATATGTATTAAGTTAAGATTACAAAATTACAAACAAAGAGATCCGGCAGATAGCCAGCTCTTACACGCGGAAGGGACATAGTTCAAGTTTAGCTATGTGAACGGGAAGTAACATCTGGTACTTTCCTGGAATTCTGGCAGTTTCAGCAAAGTCGGAAGGTCTTTGAGAATTTGAGAGCTGACAGCTTGGGACGGCGATAACTTAGAAGTGGGACGGCCGGAGCCTCACACCCTGACCGTAATGCATCCAGGGGCTGTCAACCTTAGCGTCAGGTCAGCATCTGCCAGAATCACATAGCAGAGCAACATGATTGGGAATTCAAAATTTAGGGAACCTCCTAGTTTGAAAACTTAACCAATGGCAGAAGTGGAGGAGTGGATTTCTCTTGGAGTCTGGGGTTCGTGTACCTCAGGATTCAGAGAGAGGGCATTCCACCTCGAGGGGTCTTGACACAACTTTCGACAAAGTCGGACACAAAATTTACAACTATGGCCTTTCCGTAAAGTAGTATAAGTAAAGTTCAAATTAAGTGTATTAATAAATTCAGTTGTATTCAGAAAGCTGGAAGGGATTAAAGGACTACTAAGTGCAACGGTCTAAAGAGGTGTGTAATTGTAGTGAAGGGTTCTTCCTGCCCTGTCCGTGCCAGACCCGTATAAGACCCGGGATAGGAACTCAGCTCTACAGATTACTGAACAGAACCCAAAGAAGTGAGCGGTGAGAATATGTAGCAGGCATGATGAGAAGAGGAATGCATATAGGATTCTAGTGGGAAGCCAGAAAGAAAGAGACCAATAGGAAGACATAGACGTAGGTGGGTGGATAATAATGAGGTAGGATGAGGTGGTATGGCCTGGATAGAGCTGGCTCAGGAGAGGGACCAGTGGAAAGCTCTTGTGAACATGGTAATGAACCTTTCGGGTTCCATAAAATGTTGGGAGTAACTGCACAACCGGCGGCTTCTCAAGGAGGGCTCAGTTCCATGGTAGTTAGTTAGTTAGTTAGTTAGTTAGTTAGTTAGTTAGTTAGTTAGTTAAGCGGCCTCCGTAGTCTAGAGGTAACGTTCCCACCTCATGACTCGTGGTACGCGGGTTCAAACCCGGCGGAGGTCATGGAATTTTTAAGGGCGGAAAAATTCATGGAACAAGTCCTCCGGGAGGGACTTTAAGCCGTGGGTCCCGTGTCGTAGTTTTACGGCACGTAAAAGAACCTCATATCTCCAAAGGAGGTCACTGAGCTAAATTCAAGGACATTTCCCGCCCAACAGTAGTCTCTAACGCCTCTGATAGATGGGGGAAGCATTATAGATACCGCCAAGCCAGTAGAGGCCGAACTCGCTGGCTCGGTCGGGACTGATGGTACGCACCAATATCGGTAGGGTAAAGAGACTGGTAGAATATCATAGAGGGAAGCACAATGGACCAATACTGGTCTCAGTGCATGGGGAAACCCACCCTCTCCAATAACTAACTAACTAACTAGTTAGTTAGTTAGTTAGTTAGTTAGTTAGTTAGTGTGATTTCTTTCGCACATTCTCCGGGCAGAGGGTCGGTTCCCTGAGACACCTAGCCATACGTTAAGAGCAGCCTCTTGCTGTTCAAGTAACTGCCTCTCCTTCCGGAAGTTCGATAATCGAGTAAACTTGCGTACGTTCTGGAGGCCTGGCGAATACTCCTCGTCTGATGCTGACCCTGTCATGATGACGACATCCGGCCGAACGGAGTGGCTAATGATATCCATTCGTATTCGTGTGATCCTGAGTTCGAACCGAGGCAAACAGACTGACTAACCTAACATTATTTTGTTACTTTCCACAGTTACTTCTAGAAAGACAAGTACGATAGACTACATTAAACTCCACCACAACCACTTCCAAATTGTTGAGCAATTCCTTGTTTCATTTAGATCATATTAGTTTCATCACTATTAGGACAAATCTGATTAATGTTATCATTAAGGGTATTTTACAGCTGAGATAGCCTAGTCGGTACAGCGACTGGCTACGGACTGAACGACTGAGGGGTCGGATTTCGAGTCCTGGTAGGGTCAAGAACGTCGTTCAGAACGGCCCTGGGGTCCACGCAACCTCCTATCCAATGGGTACTAGGGGGCTCTTTCCCGAGGTTTAAAGCGGCCGGTGCGTGAAAATGACACCTCCAACTACTGTCGAGATCAGGAATACTGCCACCCCCCATACGCTTTCAGGGCGTAGTGCTTAATTAGTTAGGGGATTTAATTCAGTTTTGGATGTTATATTGGTACATGCGTTTCTGAGTGTGTGTCGCTAAATGTATTTCGGAGTGAGAAATATTTCCAACCAAAGTTGCAGAGAACACGAAATGGTGTTTTGTGTTCAGTACACTTACTTAGTAAGTTTCGAACTTCACGGTATAATTTAACAGAATGAACATTGTAAGTACACTCCCGAATATGCAAATTGTCTATCAGCCATGACCTCCTGAACGAAATGGCCGAGATTACATTAAAATCAGGTTTGCTTTTTTTTGTCTTTGTTTAAATATTGTGCTCCTTTGCAATATGACAAAGGAGAATATTACGAGTTTATGGCTCCGTGACTAATAATAACGGATTTCGGATTGAATGATTGGATTTATTAACACCTTCTGTTACAATTTCTCTTAATCACAAACACTTATAGCGCAGGCTCTAGTCTAGCCACTTCACCAATCACTAGGACACGCTCAATTCTCGTCCTCCGTTGTAATCCGTTGTACTCCTTCCATTCTCATTGTATCTTGCGCCCTCGTTCTGTGCCGTCTTATAATTATTCGGCACGTACCCCACGAAAACACGTCTCACATATTATCAACAATGTTTGCTTGTTGGTTCATTACCTAACAATCGATTTCCTTCTATTCTTGAGAGTGTAATTTAGAGAACGTGTTTACCGAGCCGTTGTCTAACAATGGTCATATATGTCACAATATATTAAAGAAGAATTTACATTTGGTGTGTGTAATAACAGAGAACGTTGAAGTTTGATAATCTATTCAGTACACAGTTTTCACTTTCAGCCAATTTCAGTATAATCTAACAGTGAATAGACTGTTTATTATACATGAAGAATGCCTCGTATTTTATATTATGATTATTTTATATATAATTTAATTTGCCGAATCCGCCTCTTAAATATACAAGCAATTTCCGCTTTTACAAATATTCACATCCCTGAAGAGTTAGTGAAGCGTAATTTCACAATGCAATTCGTAAATAATAAACAAAGGCGAGCATCACATTTCTGCTCACAAACCAAATTACAACACAATTCTTTAAAGGTAAAGGTAAAGGTAACGGTATCCATGTAACAGGCCGTGAAGGCCCATAGGTTTCTGAGACGTCGAGGCTGCCACATTTTGTCTAGACATTCGGCTCACAGATGGCGGTGCCTTATAGGCCCACACTTTTACAATTCTGTGTTATGTTGCAGTCGCTGTGTCCGTAAGTCCGTAAGCCACACATTTCTGGGGGCATACATAGAGATATTTTGAAGCCGGCCTTCTATTTAATAAATTGGGGAGCAAATGCAATCGTTAAGGAAATACCGCCGATGGAAATATTCGTGCTCAGTTGAAAAGTTTCACGTTGAGACCATGTCAGAATAGGAAAACATCTTGGATAGTGGCAGTTCTGGTTATAACATATATGTAAATCGCGTCTAGCATTGTCTCATATCTTCATATATCGTAATCAAAACCAGGAATGCCAAAAAAGATAAAAAAGTCCCCACCCCTCCCCCATATATAAGCAAAAAGTACCTATATGTGCTCGTAAAGAAATGTGTCCACACTACAGACAAAGAAGAACTGTAAAGAAATACGTTGGTAGAAGAGACACATCTACACACAATTTTAATTTTAATGATTTAATATTTTAACAATTACTATTAAACCTTAGAGGCTAACACACCTTTTTATATTGTGACATGTAGGTCCATTGCTAGGAAATGCCCGCAAAACACACGTGGCCAACAATACAGGAGCAGTGTTTTCTGTTGTCCGCGCATGGACCGTTGCTATGCTGTGCGCGCAGCAAACGCGTGCGCGGTGACGTCACACAATAGACGAAGTGATGCAGGCATGTGTGTTCTGTAGGTCCGCGCCGAGGCTGTGTTTTCTTCTGTAGTCCGTGCTGAGAGGTTATAAAATGTCGTTTGAGTCAGTCTAGCTCGAGGCGCCAGCCTGCGAGTAGCAAAGGAATCGATGCATCGGGGT